TTTATCATAAAACGCGAAGGAATAGTATTATAATCCGTGTTTCCGGTTCTCCTGAATTCCCCCTTCATCATTATAAGATGCTAGGTAGAGCCCCAAAGCCTTATTCAATCAATAAGTTCTTCAAGGCCTCTAGATTACTCTAGCCCCCATCCCTTCGGAGAGCCTGAAGTTTTACACGGGTGGTGCAGGGTGTCAGACACACGAAGCTCGCGACTTTGAAGAGCCGAGGAATCTGGTTTCAGGACTTTTCGTGCTTCAGAGTGTCGGGCTTTACCTGAAGCCTAATTACACAGCCCACCTTTGCAGAGTTCCTCCTCATGAAGTCCATAGAAGGGGTAGGTAGGGTTCGGGGTTGTAGGGCTTTGAAGTTCGGGCTTTAGGATTTGGCGTGTACGAAAGCTCTAGTCAGCAGGATGATGGTGTGATACGTTTACATTTTGGTTTTCGAGCCATCTGTTTAGGATGTAGACCCCTGCCTCTCATTAGGCTTAAATGGACGATTATGTTAAGCTTTTTGAAGGACGGTTTGTTTATCAGACGCCTTGAACACCCCTCCATTCATCATTCCTTATCGAACATCCGATCAGTCGGTGGTTTCTGTAACTTAACCGACTTCTACTATGTTGATGTCCCTTTGCTTTGGAAACCTTCAGGACCCAACCTCACCCAAAGCTGAAATTCTGAAACTCTCCTATGACCCTACACGTCCCTAAGGGTCCATGTACTCATATGGTATATGCATTGGCCTTAATGTAGTCCCTATATAGGTACTTTGGGGCTCCTGTATCTCTATATGGGTGCATGGACCCTTAGGGCGTAGTAGGCGCTGCACAAAATCGCCTGAAGCCTGAACCTCATGCTTCTCAGTACCGAGGCCCATACGTCCATACAGCAAACGCCGTTCAAGCACTGAACCTCAACATCCACAGAATCGCAGACCCAGGGACTATTGCGACACTCAGCCGTAGGTCGAAACCGTAGCCACAAAGGCCCAAACTAAACTAAACACAGTACTCTAAGCAACCCTCAATCCTGAGTCTCAAATCCCTTAACCTTAAACCCCCAAAATCCGATATACCCAGCGGAAACCTTAAACCCTATAAATCTGCTAAACCAAAAAAAACCTTAACCCCGAAAAGTCAAATTAATCCCGAAGCCCTTGATTCTTGCAGCCCTCCCGAGGCAGTCGAACAGATGTCTTCCAGCATCGCCCGCACTGGACTGAGGCCACTCAGTCTTCTGAAAAAGCACACAAGCATAAGCATTTCATGGGGTTTCCCTACCTTATTGGGCTTCATTATAAGGGGATTTATATGGGATATCCCTACCCTATTCTTTGCTTATGTGCTTTTTTGGGGCCCCACTTCAAGGCTTAAGCTTTAAGGGTCCCTTTAAAGTTTGGCCTCAGCCTTCTGGTGCTCCTACTTTAGGGTTTAGGCTTAGGGTTTAGGGCTTAGGGAAGGGTTTCAGGGTTGCTTGAGTATTTGAGGGGTTCTTCAGGGGTTGGGGTGTTTGGCAGTGAGAGGCTTGCTTTAAGGTGCCTTTAAGAGGATTTCGGGGCTGCTTTAACGGACCAATGTAGAGGAAGTAATACGATCATCTCATTTAGGGATTTTGGGGTTTTGGTTTAATGAATATAGTCGAGTAGGCAACCCTTCAACCTGCTTGGGGGAAGGTACTGTGTCCTTGTAATATCCCAAAGGTTAACCTGTAGTTTCCCTCGGATGTGTCAATCTTAGATAAAGGCCGCTCGTATAGCTTGCAAGCCTATACAAATACAGGGAGTAAAGGGTAGATTGTTAATCAGTCTTTCGGCCCCTTAAATAGGGCCAAAATTGGCGGATCTGCAATAGCATTGCACTTATGAAAGCTTTCTCACGACAATACCGAACAAACATTCCCATGAACGGTGTTTGTAGTAACCTTGTGTTTATCGATTCACTTCCAGATCCCAGCCCCCATTTCTAGCACCATAAGCCATAAGCCCTTGCACTGCGCCTGAAGTCGAATCCGTTGCCGTTTAAGCTTTAAGCTTATATTATATGTTCCACGGAACTTAAATGGGCACCCTTGAAAGGAACCCTCTTCTAACAATGAAGGCCCCTAGACCACAACGCCAATATAGTAACCCTCCCAGTCAGCTTAGACAGTAACCCTACTCTAGCTATTCTTAAAATCAACCTAGTTGGTACGAGTGCTTAACTATGAAGCCTACCCAGAGGCCCCAAAGCAGTTCCTTTTTGGGATTACCTTGTGGGATTCTAGATATGAACCCCAAACGGAACTACTTTGGGGCCTCTGGGTATAGGTTATTTCCCAGAACCGTGCGGGCCAGGGTTTGCTGGTCCGCTGCTGGTACAGAGAGCCCCAGCCTTGGAACCATCCGAGATTCGGGATTTTGGGGTTTAGGGTCTTCGGTTCTACGGTTTAGGGTCGTGGGATTTAGGGTTTAGGGCAAGTTCAGGGTCTTCGGTTTTAGGGTTTAGGACGTGAAGTAGGGTTTTGCATGCGCAGGGTTTGATATGGGTCCTAGGGAAAGTGACATAGGATTTCTTTCAGAATTTCCTTGTATTGGCCTGTTGTCAATCATCACGGATCACGGATTCACGGCTCGGCAATCCACCACAGCTCCACACTCATGGGTAGTCCTCACAATTAGGGTCCCTTTTAGGGTCCTTATTTTGATATGGCACCTCATATTTAGGGTACCTAAAAAGGGACCATGATTTGACAACTACCCTTATCCCAATCAGGTCGAAAGGCTCAGGGCTGTCTTGATGCTTTTTCCTTATGGGTAGTTGTCAAAATTAAGGTCCCTTTTTGGGTACCCTAGATATTAGGTGCCGTATTATAATAAGGACCCAAAAAGGGACCATAATTTTGAGAACTACCCATATAGGGCTTTTCTGGAGTCCTGACTCCGGCTGGCCTTCGCGATACATAGTGTCAAGAAAATCTTGATCACAAACCTCGACCCTGAGCAGCTTCAATACGATATATATATATATATATATATGCATATATATATATATATATATATATATGACCTAGAAGAATCTCGCTTTTCTCGCTTTTGGGGCGTAGAGTCCAAGTCGGACGCAGCCCATTGGCATGCACTTAATTGAGTTGCTTAGTGCGGACCAGTAATCTGACTGTCACCAGTATGGACTCGCACTAGGAAACGGGATTGAGCCAGCGAAGGAAAAGCTGTCCCGCTCCTTCAACAAAATCAAAACGATGGCGCATGGACGATGCCTGAAAATGCACGGCAGACAAAAGGTGCTTCGTATTCCATAACCGGCGATCAAAGCACCAAACATGATACGATCCACATATCGGACCTTAAGAGGTGCAGGATCTTCCTCATGGGTATCAAATGAGGCCATTCCTACACGGTTACAATACCCAGGATGTCTTACACCTTCATCGAGGTGATATCGGGACATCAAGCTCAACCATAGCATGAAGGCCATAGGACCTCCACGCGCAAATCTAAAGCGCTCCAGCATCACTCACTTATATAATCAGGAACAGATAAGTCAGGATAGCAGAGTCAGCGTCATTAGAGCGAAGGCCTGACGAGCCTCTGTACTGCTTGATGGCGCGCTGCTGGAAAGCCAACGTCATCATGCAGCCGCAGAATTCCTTTACCGACGTATGCGAGCGTGTCCTCCAACCCTTGTGGTGATCCAGATGCCCTCGCTTGACGAGCCTCTGCTCTGCTTGATGCCGCGCAGCTGAAAGCCGCGTCTTCTTGAGGCCAGCCGCCACGGTGAAGTGTGCCAGCGTGTCCTCCAAACCATCTCCACACCTATGTAGAAGAATACATATATATTATATATATATGTATATTTGCTTATATGTACATATGACCTAGAAGAGGCAACCCGCAAAAGGTAGATAGCCAGGAAGCCTCAAAGTCCTGAGCCCTGAGGGCCCCAAGCCCAAGGCTCTAATTACTCTGATCCCTCAACACAGGAACCCTCTAAACCCAATGCTTGCGATGTCCAGATGCAGACTTTGTGGCTGAAGCAGGGGCACAGGGGCTCAGACGGTCTGTGTGGGCTTTTAGGGGATTCTTCATAATAACGGGGCCTTGTAGTAAGAACAGGGTTTGGAGTCAGTGGCAGTACTGTCGTTACACAGGGCCGCAAAAAAATGACAGTAGGTTGCATGCTGAAGAGCGGGTTTGCTAAGGGCTCCTCGAAGGTTTCCGGAAGGATTGAGAGAGCTGAGCTTGGGTGTTTCTTCAGGGTTTCGGTCACTGGGGTTTAGGCAAACTTGGAGGTTCAGGGGTAGTTATACTATAGCATATGGTATCTAGCTATAGTTGTCCTACTTATAACCCCCACGTCTAACTACCCATGAGCCTGCTTCGAGAGCAGGGCGTGGAGTTGTGGGGCCTTTGGGGTTCATTTAGGGTTGAGAGTTCCTGAAGGCAGGGTTGATAAGTTGATTGGATTCAAACGGGAAAAGGAGGGACCCTTAATGGGGACCCCTACCCGACAATGGGCCATATAATGGGTATATGATAGCTACATTAAGGGTGTATACCTGGGGGTCCTTATTAAGGGTCCCTCCTTTTACCCTTGGATAGATGTGAACGAGCACGATTGGGGACTTTCCCAAAACGGCTGGAGGGTTTGGGCTTTGGATTTCTCCCGGTTTAGAAACTTCGGAATTGCATGTGGATGAGGCCTTCACGAACTTGAGAGAACCACAGGCACCAGTAAGCCTATAGCCAGCCCTACAAGGATAGGCGAGGTACGCCTCAGGTTGTGTAGACTGGCAGCCTGTTCCAGCGAGACTTTGCTCAAGCTGTTCGCGCAGACTCGTACACAAGCTAAGGGCTGGTAAAACAGCTAAGCCTAGGGTTTTTTTGAACGCTAGTATACAGATACATGTCGCCAATTGCTTGCTCAAAGACTCAAAGGGTATACTAGATCACCAATTCTTTATACCTCTATGTAGGGTTTCTAAGTCACCACCCTCTGGTAGCCATGGCGCAGTGGCTGTCTTCCTGCACTTTGCTGCTTTGCCTGGGCCTTGGGTCGGCCCTGGCGCCCAAGGAGGCGCACAGCAACGCTGAATTGCAAAGCAGACAAGGGAGTTTCCGAATATAAGGGGTACCGTATATTTGGGGGGGTCCTTCTTTTTTCGGATCCTATTATTTAGGGTACTAGATCAGGGTCCCTCTATTTTTCGTAAACCCCCATCTAGATATTGCCGCTAATGCCCCTTAGGGTTCCTCGTTATACGTATAGGTTATGGTACACCCCCAAACCCCATCTTCATGAATATGGGGGTTCCTTGTTTCGCTTTCCTTCTGTAAGTCCGTATTAAAAAGCTAGGTCCTTTGGCGTTAAGCCCCTCAGACCGCTGATAAAGGGCTTGGGAGGTATATTAGACTATTCCTATATTGTAAGGAAGCCTATACTTGGAGGTTCATGGGTAGATATAAGTCTGGTTATAAGTCCCCTAACATGGGTTATAAGTATAGTTACCTACTTATGACCCTACTTATAACTACCCATGAACCTCCAAGTAGACCCTAAACCCTATACCCTTCAAGAATCCGTATAGATCCCTTTAAAGGGACCCTTAAAGGAACCCTTGTAACTACCCATGAACCTCCAAGTAAGGAGTAGTAAATGACTGCTTGTACGTCGGTCGTTTTGGGGCTCTGGTAGGCCCTAACCCTAAGGGTCCGTGCATTCAGATAGTATATACATTGGCCTTAATGTAGTCCCTATACATAACATAGGTACTTTGGGGCTGATGTATCTCTATATGGTTACATGGACCCTTAGGGCAACGCCACGTGAGGTGCACATTAAGGAGATGGTGGCGGCCGCGCCTTGGTCACCAAAGAACCCTGAAGAGTAAGGACCCTCCCCCAAGGGTCCAAAGGACCCAAGAATTAGGTACTCGGTTTGAGGATAGTACTTGTAGCTATGTGGGTTAGGAGTTTGGAGAGTATAGGATTATTGGGTACTTGGACCCTTAGGGCGCTCCATCCTTTGCGATTAGAATTCCGATACTATGCTAAACGCCATGAACTCTAAAGGCCCCTCTACCCTGAACATTACTTTTCTAAAGAGCCTACCGTTTTAAGGGCTTACATGAACCCCCAAACTGTAGGTTTCTTTGGGATCCAGGTATATCCTTCACCTGTGAGTTTTGGGGTTCACGGTTTAGGGGTTCAGGGTTTCGGGTCTGCCTGATGACCTGAGACGCTCGTAGGCTTCATTTCGTGCTGAAAAAGCCGAAGACCTTACACACTTCGTCCTTCAGCACTCTACGCAACACTTACGGAACCCTTTCGGAGCCCTCTAACGGAACCCTTCTGAAGCCCTTGTGGGGATATGTTTCGTCCTTAACCTGGGTTTGGAGTACCATACTTGAATACGTTTTTTGGTGCCTGTTCCTTAAAGGAACCATTATGAAATAAAAGTATATACCTTTTTCCCCCTGGTTACTTCAAAGTCCAGTTAAGGTGTTCACCCCCATGACCGCGGAGAAGTTTCTCGATTTGAACCGAGTGCCGCTCTACGCGGAGATGCTGGCGTCCAAGAACGTCACTAGTGCCTTAGCCCAAGGGTCCAAGTACCTAATAATCATATACTCTCCCAATTATTAACCTACATAACTACTATCCTAAGCCCAAGTACCTCATTATTGTGTCTTTTGGACCCTTAGGGCTAGCCTTTTTGGAGACCCCTTGCCGCAAGGCCCTTTGCTACTTTTTAATGTGTTTTGTTATTGTGTTCGGGTTTCTTCTAAGGGAAGCCTTATAAGAGGCAAGAGAACTGCGATTTTCGCACAGAGCCTCTAACTTGCTCCTCACTCCAGAGGCAACGCCTAACCTCGAAACCCTAAACCCTAAACCCCGAAACCCTAAACCCTAAACCCTAAACCCCTAAACCCTAAACCCTAAACCCTAAACCCTAAACCGTAAACCCTAAATCTGAAGCCCTTACCAAATAGCCCCTTGCCGCGTTTTGCTTTTGAGGTTCCACCCTTAACATCGGAAACAGGATAACTTAGAAGCTGCCCCCACCCTGTAATAGTGGTATAATAGGAATATAATAGGGCCCTAATATAATCCTATATAACCCTTATGGTCACTATTACAGGGTGGGGGCAGCTTCTAAAGGATAGCCGTCGCTTCTAAAGGGCATAGCTTACAGTAGAAGCCAGAAAGTTGGAATATCATTATCGTAACCCCTTCAAGGTAAACTATAGGGGATCCTACCATTAATCCATATTCCAACTTTCTGGCTTCTACTGTAGCCGCGTTCAAGATGAGCAGCTTCAGCTTCAGGCGATTACCGGCGCAACCGAGAGTAACGCTCATATGGGGGGTTTCCGAAAATAGGGGACCCTAATATAGTACCCTAAATAGTAGGATCCCCATTATAAGGACCCCTGAATAAGGTACCCCTATTTTCGGAAACTGCCATATAAAGCCAGGAAGCCCACAACCCTATACCCTAACTCCCAAACCCTAAACCCTGGATCCTATACCAAGCCATACAGCAAGGTGTGCTGCCCGCTGGAACTACCGGAGAGTCGCTGTCCCTCAGTGTAGCGGAAAGAACCGAGGTGGCACGAGGTTTTGGGTTTAGGGCTAAATGTTTACTGTTTCAGGGCTTATGATTACACTAGAAGGAACTTGGGATTTGTAGCTGTTCCTTGTTTCGCTTGTGGCTTATGCTATAGGGACCTCCATTTGTTGCTTAGCTTCCAAAGGGAATGGGGTAACGGATCAACATTTTGGGCTTACGCCTCAGGCATCAGAAGGTGTACCGCACACCCGAAACCCAAAAACCTAAACCCTTTAATTATACACCCCTTGACTCCCTTATAAGCCCTCCTGAATCCTAAATCTAGACGCTAGACACCTAGGACCCAGAGTAGGCCCTTATTCCCTTTTTTAGGGTTTAGGTTCCCTTATAAGCCCCCTTTAACCCAAAAAGGGCACCCTTTTTATTCCTGGGTTACTCTTGGGTCTAGACACCTTCCAAACACCAGGACCGCCCTTAGAAATCCATGACTCCGCTTACAAGAAGCCCCTAGAGTAGAAGCCAGAAAGTTGGAATATCATTATTGTAACCCCTTTAAGGTAAATTGCAGGGGATCCTACCATTAATCCATAATATTCCAACTTTCTGGAGTTCCCTTTAGACCCAGTTTCCAGGTTAAGACACTTCGGAATTCTCCTTTCTGGTCTTGGGGCTTACGGCTTTTGGGGTTTGAGGCTTTAGGGATTTCTCGGATTCGGGGCTTGATGCTTTAACTTATGGGATTTCGGATGTAGCGATATGGGACCAGGTCTATGATTCAAACCCTAAACCCTAAATCTTAAAGAGCTCCCCCTCAAAACAAGAACAACCTATACCCTAAGCCCCATAGAGCCCTTAAACAAATAAACCTAAAGCCCAAACCCTATGGAGCCGTAAAATAGAGCCTTAATTCAAATCCGAAACAGAACGCACCAAGGGAAGCAGCTGGCAGAAGCCTGGGCAGCGGCTGCCAGGAATCAGACCAAAGTGTGCCTTGGCAACGAGGGGGGTTTTGAGGTTTAGAGGTTTTAGGGGTTTAGGGCTTAGAGGTTTAGAGGTTTAGGGATTTAGGGTTTAGAGGTTTAGGGGCGTAGGGGTTTAGGGGTTTAGGGCTTTACATAGAGGCCTTACCCATAGGCCCCAAAGTAATTCCTTTTTTGGGGTTCAGCCTATAAGGTAGTCCCAAAAAGGAACTACTTTGGGGCCTATGGGTAATCATCAGGAAGGTAGTGACTAGATTACGGCTTCAGGGTATGTTCTCGTAAAATTCTAAGAAGGAGCCTCGAGGAATCATATAGAAGCAGTGCAGGCTCCTATATCATGGGGTCCTAGAAGCGACGCCATAGCTGTATTCCCTTCCGCATGTGCTGGGAATGAGCAAAGGCATCTCAACCCCATTTCCACAACTGCTTCCCTTCTTTCTTTCCGGTCTTTGCTTTGCCTGTCAAGCAGTAACCTTGGTACAATAGAGTTTCTCCATACCCAAAGGGTCCAAAGTACCGATATAGTAGAATATAGGGTTTCTATATTAGGAATTACTAGTATGGTTTGGGGAAGTATTCCCCATAACAGTACACTAATAACAATAATAATAATAATAATAATAATAATATGAATATATATATATATATATATATATATATATATGCATTGGCCTTAGATAGTTTCCATATAGGTACTTTGAGCCCAAAGTGTCTAGTATTTGGGTACATAGACCCGTATAGGGTAGGCCTTCGACCTCAGGTACATGCATATCGGTGCGGAAAGCTTGGTGGATACGCTGGAGCTTGCAGTTCATGCCGCGGCCACCCCAGGCATGTCGGCTTTCCCCTGCATTGGTGCAAGCGAAGAGGGTAATCGTGATTACAGGGTGACGCGCGGTTTTGCTGGGAAATGCTCGATCAAAGGTCGTTGGGTCAAGTGCAACAGAGGGGGAAAAGTGGCAGCAGCAGCATCGCATTCGTCACCACTCCACGAGTCAAGGCAGCAACATCCTGGTATCTTGCTAGAGGCATCGTCGTCACCATCACAGACACATTCGTTCGAATGATCAGCCGAGTACTTGAACAGTCAGACAATATTTCCTGCTGTAGCAAAGCTCTGAATACTTCGTCGACTTTCTCGTCAGTGTTGGACTACTTTGACAATCATTGCTTCCGGTGGCTCCTGGTACGGTGATGTTTGGCAGTCCTATTTGTTGTCATTGGTCATGGATGTATCTCTCGCACCAAGTGCTGACATCATGAGGCCCCAACTCCGAGGAATCCCGTCAGAGCTTGTGAGCCATGCAAACCCTGGAGCCGCGAGTCGCGACTCGAAGCTCTCGCTTTGGCGTACGATCCAGGTGTCGTGGGCATTGTTTGCCAAACTCCGGTGTTCTTCAAGCACCTTTCCTGAAAGCAAACACGCGTTGGCACTGGGGACTTTGAGCTTTCACGAGGTTTCCTGTAAAGTTCCGTCCCCGGCTAGACCATCTCGGACTTGCCATCGAAATTGGGACAGATCTTCACAGGGGTTGGGCCTTCCGCATGAGCATCAGGCGCAATATACTTGTCTGAATACCTAGTAGTGCTATCTGCTTTTAGTCCATATGCAACTACAGCATGGTATACTGTACCCCAAAGCACTGTTTCGATGTTGAAGTCCGCTCTATTCTGCCACCTTCTCCGGATGGGATGATGCCCACATGACAGCTAAGGCCCAGTGTCGAGACGCTGCATGCCTCTTGTCATGCTCTAGCACGGATTTCGAGGTTGTGGAGTTGGGTAGCTGTCAAAATTATGGCCCCTTTTGGGGTACTTTAAATATTAGGTGCCCTATGATAATAAGGACCCAAAAAGGGACCCTAATTTTGACAACCACCCAGTTGAAAAAATGATCTCGAGAGGCTTAGACTTGCTTGTTGTATCGAAGCTGTTGCCTTGCTGATTAGTCTATGACCTTCGAGGGAACTATAAGGGTCCCTTTAAGGGATCTATAAGGGTCCCTGTAAAGAGTCTATAAGGGTTCCTTCGGGTTCTTTCCCTAGTAGTAGAGTAGCTAACCTTTAACCTTTTTGAATTAGTATAGTCCCTATATTCTCTCTATATAACCAAAAAGGTTAACCTTTAGTTCCCCATAATACCCGACAAGCAGGAAACCCTAAACCCCAAACCCCCAAACCCTAAACCCCAAACCCTAAACCCTAAACTTAGCGAGGGCTCGATAGAGCGCATGAAGCAGAGCCCGAGCGGTTTCTGCCGAGGCCAGGCAGAGCCCGAGCAGCTGTGCTGCGAGCGGCCTTACGAATTGCTTTGCAAATTGCCTCCTGCTGCTGGAGGGTTAAGCCTCCAGCTGGGCCTGGAACAGACGCTTTGCAATAAGGCCTTGGCCATACCACCAAGTGAGGTAAGCTGCTTATATAGTGTGCCCGGCAAGCACACCTCTATTAAAAGCTAATACCCTGAAGCCCACACCATTTGCCAGCGGCGTGGGGTAACGGGTTTGTTTGGTGGTCGGGGGTACCCCCAGGCGGGTCTGGGCCCCTCCCGGCTGGCAGATTGTGGGGGCCCGGGGCCCGCGGCCTTTTGATTCGGTCGTAGAAGGGCGACCTGCCAAATTTCCTTTCAAAATGCCAGACTGCACGGTAACGGGTTTGTTTGGTGTGGTCTGGTGGGGGTGCTGTGCTCTGGTGGGGGCGGGGCCTTGGCTGGTCCGTCAACGTGTCGGCCAAGGAAGCCACCGTCAGGGTCAACGATGCTTGGGACCATATTGGGGACAAAACTCGCCGGAGTGAGTACATAGAACACCTTCATCAACATCTCACGGAAGGCATCGCGCGCCGAGAAGCATTGGCGGCTACGGCGGTGTTTGCCAAGTCAAGCGCGGAGCAGTCTACAGCCTCAGCACCAGCCCAAGAGGCCGAGCTCGACAAGGAGGTGCTATTCAAACTCGCCAGCATCGAGGGGCACAAGGCTCATTGGAAAGTGAAAGTCACTGGTACCAGCCAGTGTCGCAAGTTTGGTTTCCAAAACAACGACGCAGCGAACGCCCAGGCTTTGGAGAAGTCTCGGTTGTTTGCCCGTTTGCTTGATACATATGTTGCCGATTTTGCGTCCTGCACGAATGCAAAACAAAGGACACCGGCGCTGAAGGCTCATGGGCTGCCGGTGAAAGGCAGCATTGTGGACATGCGCGCCAACTTGTTGATGCGGTTGTGCAATGGCTTTTCCCCTGCTTGTGAGGAAGCCTTGAGCTGGGCTAGTGCTTCCAGCAGCAGTTCCTCCAATGGCAGCTCAACGGATGCACACATTCCCAAAGTTTCCTCACCAGCTGATGCGAAAGGCATTGACATACTGGGGACTTTATTCACCACAGCTGCATTGCCCAAGGAGAGCCACCCATTCGTGCCACTCTACGTGCACCCGGTTGTTTCCAAGCAGTGAAGAGTATGGGCGCTCGACACTGCACTTATGGGCTGTTGCTCGGGGTGAAGCATCAAAGCACGTACAGAGTGCAGAACATTGTGGTCACAGCGGAGGCGGACAATCTGACCTTATTCCTGCAGGAGCACATGCAAGGCCAGGGCGAGCAATTGGTGCTGGGCTATTTCCTTGCAACTCCTGATTCGGTGGGCGCACTGGAACCGCATGATGTGGAGCTGGCCAAAGCATGCCAGGCCCAAGGCAGCCGTTGTTATGTCCTTTTGAAAACAACCTTCCGGGAGCAAGCCAAGGGATCTCTGAAAAGTGGGGGCGGGGCCTTGGCTGTTGGCTGGTCGTTCATAGAGAAGGACGACGAATCAGTGGCTTGGCTGGTTCATAGAGAAGGACGACGAACGGTATGAGTGGGGGCAGACCCTGTGCTCTGGTGGGGGTGGTGCTGTGCTCTGGTGGGAACCCCTGGGGGTACCCCCCCGACGTCCTTCTCTATGAAGGACAAGGCCCCGCCCCCACCAGAGCACAGCACCCGCACCAGAGCACCCCCACCAGAGCACTGGTTCGTCGTCCTTCTGTATGAAGGACCAGCCAAGGCCCCGCCCCCACCAGAGCACAAGATTTTGGGTGAGTATTTTGCGTAATATAAATTCTGGTCGTAAAAAAACACCCACTAAGCCGAACCCACGCCTGCGCTGGGGAAAGCCCCCCTTGATTGAGTTGTGTCTGGGTGGGTCTAGGGTGGGAGTCACTTAGCTGTGCTGGAGCGAGCGGCTCGGGGAGATTTACACCCGAACGAGCGAATACGATGGACACACCCTAAACCCTAAACCCCAAACCCTAAGCCCTAAACCCCAAACCGTAAACCCTAACCCCTAAACCCTAAACCTCTTAAACCCCATGATACCCGACAAGTAGGAGGCTCTTGCCTCGCTGTTGCATTTTCTGCAAACTCACGAAGACCCTCAACTTGCACTTGGGAGTCTCCGAAAATGTGGGGTACATTATTTTGGGGTCCTAAAAATAGAGATCCTACAATTCAGGGTACTACATTAGGGTCCCCTATTTTCGGAAACTCCCACTTCAGCCCAACTCCACGCATCGGTGCAAAGGTAGTTGTGACCGAGTCGTCAAGCTTCCCCGTCCAGTCTTTCCAGCCTATCAAGACGAGTTTGGTTCCGGGTTTTCATGGTTACGCTTGAGGCACTTCGAGCGAACGCAACGTCGTGATGTTGGTATGACGGTATCTGCAGACCTTAAGACAAAGTCCCCCAGAGCGTGCTGAAACCCGTATTTAGGGGTACTTATAAATGATTTTGATTTTTGGTTATTATAATCCCTAAGAAACAGCTAAAATATTTATTTTTGCTAGGGTTCTAAGCTCAGTATTGCGTAGCCTTGACCCTGAACCGAAGCCCGGCAGCCGAGCCCCTGAAACCTCCCCCTGGGATGCCTGGTAGTACCCTTATTCCCTTTTTGTAGTCCTAGGTTCCTTATAAGGGTACCCAATACCCAAAAAGGGAGCCCTTTTTATTTCTAGGTTACTTGGCATCCTAGCCCCTCCTCCTCCCAGATCTCGAGGACCTTTGTACCTTCCGCGGGAGACCCTAAACCGCATGCAAACCCTAATCTCTCAACACGCAAACCGTGGAAAACCTGAGGATTACTTGGTGGCGGTAGGCCGAGCTGCGCCGCAAATGCCTCTCTGGCACCTCGTCGTATTTGCAAACTAATAGCGAGGTTATTGGTCTGACGTGCTCTAAGAGTTCTGTCTGTGTTATGATGTAAGGGCCTCGACATCAGAATATTGGGCTCCGTAATGTGATTGCCATATAATACCAGAGCAATGCCCATAGTAGTCTCCAAGACTAGCGGATGCTTGGGCGGAAGATGTCATCATGACAAGAGCTCATGCGGAACCAGATGCTAACCCCAAGGGTCCATGTACCCAAATAGTATATACTTCGGACTGAAAGTATTCCCTATATCGGTACATTGGGCGGCCTAAAGTGTACATTATTTGGGTACCCATGGGTCCCAAAGCAGTTCCTTTTTGGGATTACTTTTTAGGATTCTCTATATGAACCCCCAAAAGGAACTACTTTGGGGCCTCTGGATACATGGACCCTTAGGCTCACAAAGAAACCCTAAAGCCCTCAGCCCTGGGAGCCCTAAATCCAAGGGTAAGAGGAGAGACCCTTAATAAGGACCCCTATAGTATAAAGGGTTTAGGGTTTAGGATTCCCTTAATAAGGACCCCTAGGTATATACCCTTAATATAGCTATTATAGACCCATTATATAGCCCATTGTAGGGTAGGGGTCCCCATTAAGGGTCCCTCCTTTTCCCCTTTGGCTGAAGCCTAAGACCTGGGAGCCCTAAAGCGTAAACAATGCAGCTCTGGTGGTTCGGGCTGTGGACTTTGTGTTGCTTTGGCTGAGGGTTTAGGGGTTTAGGGTTTGAGGGTTTAGGGTTTTAGGGTTGTAGGGGTTTAGGGTTTAGGGCTTCGGCTGTCTGAGCAAGGTATTACCACTTCCCTGACAAGTCGGGCGTGCTGAATGGGCAGGCCACGTGAACACCAAACCCCTTTTAACGCTTTCCAGAGGATGCATGTGGGTGGTTGTCAAAATTAGGGTACCTTTTTGGGTCCTTATTGTCATACGGCATCCAATATTTCGGGTACCACAAAAGGGACCATAATTTTGACAACCACCCATGTACAATAACATGTGGTGTTCAGGGCTCCAAAAGACAGTCCCCCACGGTAGCAGATCTGAGCATTTAAGCCCTGTAGAACCACGCCTCTGCATCATATAGACCCTACCCGGACCTTTTAAAGCATACCTTTTCAGGGCTCCTAAAAAGAATTGCTTAGAGAAGGCGTTAACAAGGTAGGTTATTTGGCAAATGGCCTACTTTTTGGACGTATACGAAGAAATCTTAATAAGCAGCCCTGAATCCCTGAACAGGGTTAAGGCGCACGCTACATAACGGAGATGCTGAAGCCTAAACCACTTCAACCCCGATGCTGGTTCAGTCTCTTGACCCAAGACAGCCCAAAGCAGGTACGAATTATTGACATTTTTAGGGGTTTAGAGGGTTTAGGGTTTGGGGTTTAGGGGTTAGGGTTTAGGGGTTTAGGGGTATACAGTGGAAGCCCCAAAGTTGGACACCCAATAGCCTCAATCCTTAAGAGTAATGTATAGGGGATCCCAGCTCTATTTGGCCTTAATCAGGTTTGCAACTTTATGGGGTTTACTGCATTGACTTCAAGACCAGTACGATTTGTCGACTTTAAGACCCCGCAGCAAGTAGAGTCTATTGACTTACAGTAAGACTCCGAAGGTGTGTTGACCTCGAGGCCCCGGTAGGTAGTACTTGGAGTATGAGGATTTAGTGCGGCAGACTCTGCATCTTTGTCTTCGGGATGCCAATCCGTCGAAACCTGCGTCTCCAACCTGACCACCAGGTTACAACAGTTTAGGGTTTTGGGGGGCTTGGGTGCCATCGAAATGTTGCAAGGTTTGGGTTTACATTCAGGAGCGGGCTTACCGTAAAATCCAAAAGCCCCAATACAGGTCCCTAAACAAAAGCCCTTTTATAATTATTTAGGTCCATACACCATAGACCCCTATAGATCCCTTAATTATAGAACCCTTAGAGACCTCTTTAAAGGAACCATATTCCAATTATTCAGGCCCATACGGTAACCCGAAAGCCTTACACAGAACTCTGGGAAATCGCATCCCTAGAATTATTATAGTGCCCTTATAGTACCTTTATAGATCCCTTATAGTAACCTTTATAGACTCCTTGGAGGAACCCTGTTCGAATTCTTAAGGCCCCAATATTACACAGAACTCTGGGAAGTCGCATCCCTGGGGAAAGGCCCACCTGCTCCTAGAGATGATCCACGAGCGCCAGGACTGGACTCAAAGTACTTGGAGGTTCATGGGTAGTTATACGGGTCCCTTTAAGGGTCCCTTTAAAGGGATTTATAGGCATTCCAGAGGGGTATAGGGTTTAGGGTCTACTTGGAGGTGAATGGGTAGTTGTAAGGGACCCTTTAAGGGTTCCTTTAAAGGGATCTATAGGGATTCTAGAAGGGTATAGGGTTTAGGGTCTACTTGGAGGTTCATGGGTAGTTATAAGTAGGGCTATAAGTTGGGTAGCTATACTTATAACCCATGTTCGGGGACTTAGAACCCCACTTATAACTACCCATGAACCTCCAACTAGTCCCTGTAATCCAAAAAAATCCTAAAACATAGGGTTCAGGGTTTATACAGGTGGGGGGGGGGGGGGGTGAGTACACCTCCAAACCCTGAAACGACCAAGATCCTCAAACATAATGCCTTCACAGGGACTTCAACGTTAAAGCCAGTAGCGAATAAAGTCCCAATCCCTTCTTTGAATGGCTCCGCAGCCGCACAAGCAGTGGGGATTAGATGCCAGTGATTTGCATTGTTATTCTCATTGTTTTGGTACTTCTTCCGTCCAACTTGGCTGCTTCTTGCTGGGTCGCTGTCGAGTAGAACCACGACTGGTTTGAAGGCTGCTGTCTAGAGTTCTCAGTGTCTTGCTCGGTGTGCTTGTTGAGCAGCGGTGTCGGTAGCAAAGGCATCCGCCTTGGCCATAGCAGCATGTCGTGGCATCATCACCAGGCACCATGACCAAAGATATACTCACTGACGATGGTAGGCTCTTGCTACATCAACCCAACATAATATTTGTTTGTACCAACCGCGGCGAAAAGAGTACGCAAAATAGAAACTGACCGCGCGCTGTAGCAGTGACTTCAGCGCTACTATATAGAATATCAAGGCTGAAATGATGGGCGTGGGTCTTTCGTATCAGTACAAACAGCGCTTCCTTCGTAGCTGGGATTACAGAACGACCACATGTCCTCGCAACTAGAGTTGCTCGGCGAGTCCGTCGCCTGAAACAGAAGATGCCAGCTTTTGTCCTAAATAATAGGGTTATTGTCACAGAGAAGGTTAACAGGCATCGATAGCGAACTTTCTCGCCAAAGGCTGCTTGGTCTAGGCACTGCAACCGGGAATTCTGAACCCAAGAATGCGCAAGGAGATACCGAATTTTGCCGGCATTAAGTTCACGGATGTGAATCTGATGGACTTCCAGCTCTGCAAGATGGTTGGTGGCTTGGGATCCAAGTTGGGGGTTTAGGGTTTAATTAGGGTCCTAACTACTATAATTCTGAAGGGTTGAAAAGTTTAGTCGCAGTCTCCACTTATAGGCCCTATGCAAGGATAGTATGATGTACTACAATAGCCAGAGAGTCCCCACAACTTAGGATTCCTCGTCTGTAAATGACTCCTTCACCCTGCTGGAGCTCGCGGTTGAAAAGAGTTCCCCAGCTCCTGGACTAGACGAGCGATGGGAAGTCTACAGCACTTGTGAGATCCATTCCCGAGGGGTCTAAGGATTGATATATTAAGGCTTTTGGGCCCAAAGACCATACTAAGGCTTTTGGCCTTTTTGCTGCCCAGGGATTAGTCAAAGTCTGGGTTTAGGGTTTAGGGTCTTGGGGGCTCCCGAATCAGCATTACCTGGACCCAAAAGCATGTACAATGTAGATCAGTGGCCTTTTATAGATGTTGGGCCATTATTTTACCTACTGGGGTCGTATCTGGGTGCTTCGTTAGCACAGAATTTGAAGTGCTTCCGGCTGTGATGGGGCGAGAGGTTTCACTTCCTTAGTCCTGGAGTTTGTAGCGATTAACCTTGTTGAAGGTACTATAATGGGTTTAGGTTTCAGGGTTACTATACCATAGGGGCCTCAATAATTTTGTGGTTTCCTTATCATTTATTTTATAGTATAATATACCTCAAAACCCGATTCTATTTGTTTACGCCCCTATAGTACGGTAGAACCCTCATTATAGACCCCTTATAGAAGCCCTGTTAAAGGACCCCTTTAAAGGAACCCTATTCTAATTCTTAAAGCCCCTACATCAACATCCTTAAAGGGCCAGCCTGCAGCTCCCAGAGGGCGGAGCCTGCCCTTTTCTGTTTGGTTCTTACTTGGAGGGGCGGGGGACTTAGTAAGTAGGTAGTAAGAAGACCTATAAGTACCCTAAACGGGACCCTAATTGGGGTTATGGCACTTAAAAGCCCCTAAAATCTCCAAGTAGGGAATGGAGGAATGGATCCCTATGATAGTCCCTTAAGGGTCCCTTATAGTAGTCCCTGCAACTCATTCCTGCATTCCCTACTAAGCACCAGGGAGCTTTCTCACGTTGCGAAATTCCCATAGACTCCATTATCCCTTAATCAAAGATTAGGATCCCCAGTATGATTTAAGGTAGTACATTCCTCTATTAAAGGATATTGGAGTCTCTGGGAACCTGCAGGTGGCGGGATCTACAACATGCTTTTCGGTCGAGACGAGCAGTATTTGGCTGCTGCTGTCTTGGGTGCGGACTGACAGCGGGAAGGGGGGCTTTGGGCCTAAATTTAAGTTTTGGCTTCCACAGTAGCCCCTTAAGCCGCACAAGCAAAGGTTCAGTCATCGGATTTTGAACTGTAATTAGAGTGTGAGTCATTCACGCCTCCATATGACGCCCCTAAACCATGCACCTTTGGCAATTTGCCCCAAACCGAAGACCATCCCGACCCCTAAATTCCCGAAAGGACGCTCCGATCAGCTCGACCTTGCAGTATTCCCCCTGGCTCAGAGAAGCTTGGGGCGTGTGATGTTTTTCTGTAAGGGGCTCGCTCTTCAAGTGTTTATGGCTTTGATAAGGCTTAGCATCTAGGGATCCTTGTTTAACGGGTTTCTAGTAGGCTCAGGGTTTAGTCGCTTCGTACGGGTCCGAAAAATCAAGATCTGAGCTATCGCTGACTGTACATTCGGGCTTCCTACTTTTGGAAACTCCGGAATCTGTCAATCGCTCGGTTTCTTGAGTCTGACCTCTGGTGTTCGTACAGTTTCAGTTTGCGGACTTAGCCTTTAGGAGTTACTTGAATGTAGAGTTTTTTTCATTTTGTTTTGCGTATGTATGTCCACAAAGAGGTGAGTGACTTGGGGTTAAGGTAATGTTTAAGTTAAGGGTTCAGGTATCGGTATAGGGGCCTGAATAAAGGGACAGGGTTTGTTGTATAGCAGTGTCGTATTTATCATGAGGCCCACCAATAGTGAATATCCTACGATCACTAGTTCAGGATATAGGGACATCTACATATACATATATATATATATGTATATAAAGGGCTTAACCCAAAGAAGTAACTACAATGGAAGCTCTAGTTACACCCCAAATATTGTGACCTAAGCTCCAACCCCTGAACCCTTCTCTGCAAGGAGACTATAGTTACGATGACTAGCTCCCCTCTAAACCCTGAACCCTAGCCAAAACCAGACTTCAAGGAGAGTGTAGGTATGATCACTAGCTCACCCTTAAAACCGTAAACTGCCCAAAACACCATTCTTATGATTGAGGCCCTTATACCGACAGCCTAAATAGAAACTCCTACAGAAGTCTTTCGCATATGATTAATGCCCCTATACCTGAAGCCTGAATAGAACTCCTAAATGCTAAACCCTAAGCCCTACACCCTAGACTCTACACCCTAAGCCTATACCCTAAACCCTAAATTAAACCCTAAACCCTAAACCCACCCTAAACCAACCTTAATCCCTAAACCCACCCTGAACCAACCCTAAACCCATCCTAAACCAACCAAAAACTCTGGCCCTAAAAACCAACCGTGAAACCCTATACCTGAAGCCCCAAACCCTAAACCATAATTTAAAACCCCAACCTCTAAACCTTAAACCTCAGCTCAGGAAGTCTTTCGGCTGGCGGAGGCTGGGAACCTCTACGCAGCGCAGGGCCCACAGCAGGCGCAGCTCTGGCTTTTGCTCCAGGGCTCTCATTGCCTTGGTGGTTTCTGTAAAGGGCAGTATACTGGTTCCTTTACTGGTTCTTTTAAAGGGCAGTATAATTAGTGCTTTAAGGGTTCCTTTAAAGGGCAGTATAGTGGTTCCTTTAAGTTAAAGGGTTCCTTTAAAGGGCAGTATAGTGGTTCCTTTAAGGGTTCCTTAAAGCGGTTGCCGTAGAGGGCCTTAAAGGACTAGAGTAGGGTTCCTTTGAAGGGGTCTCTAAGGGTTACTATAAGGGATCTGTAAGGGTACTATAATTATTATAGGGGCCTTAAGAACTAGAAAAGGGTCAAGGGATCTTTAAGAGTACCATAAAAAAAGGGGCCTGAAATTACTTTAGAAAATTGGTTCCTTTGAAGGGGTCTATAAATTATAAGGTACCTTTTTACATGGGGCCTCAATAACTGGAAAAGGGTGTTGGGGCCATGCAAACTCCAGGGCTCCCGTTGCCATAGTGGATCCTTTAAAGGGTCTTTAAAGGGTTCCTTTAAAGGGTAGTATAGCGGTTCCTGTAAGGGCTCTTTAAAGGGGGAATAAGGATCTAATAGGGTTAAGGGTTTAGGATTTAAGGTTTAGAAGTTTAGGGGGCTTAGGGTCTTCAGGTTTTAGGGTTTAGGGCCTAGGGATTTCGGGGTTGAGGTTTGGGGTATTTAAGGAGTTTAGGGGTTTGCGCGTTTGAGGGTTTAGGTTTTTTCTGGGGTGTAGGAGGTTTAGATTTATGGGTTTACGGGGTGAAAAGGGGTCAAGGATTTGGGGGCTCCAATTACCTAAGCACAGGGTTACTGAGGTGCATATTACATGGTTGGTTAGTAACTTACTATTTAGGTAGCTGGAGAAGGTTTCTGCAGTTTTTTGGCGGCATGTTGAAACCTGTACAAACTCTAAACCTCGCAAGCCCTAACCCCAAAACTCCAAACCCTTTTGAAGCCTTATAGCGAGGTACAGCACGTTCGTAGGGTCACACGCGGGTGTCCATTGCAGGGCTTTGGGAGTTCCTTACCCTAAGGGTCCGAGATGCGTAATGATCACATGCTTTCCTTGAAAGGGTTCTCCATGGGTTCATTATAAGGGTTCCGTTAGAGGCTTGTATAATTAATAAAGGTCCAAGTAGCGAATAATCATCAACTCTTCCAATACTAAGCTACATAGCTACTATCCTACATTCGAGTGCCTGATTTTGGGGTCCTTTGGACACTTGGGATTAAGGGTTCAGAATGGTATTGGGGGTTTTAGGCACGAGAGGTTAGGAATGTAAAGGTGTATAGGGCTTCAGGGTTTTTGTGGTGTTAGGGCAGAACAGCTCGAAGCCTCTGTTTCTTGCGGCGCCTTCTCCTTACGGTTGCTTTATAAATCGTAGCCCGAAACCCGGAACCCTAACCCTATGATCACGAATCTTGACATTGAGGTCTTAGGTTGGTTCCTTGTTTTGCATGGTTGTCTCTGAACCGACCGTTTGGGGGCCCCTGAGTGCCACAAAGCCCAGAGACTCCAATATCCCTTAAGTAAGGAGTATATACCTTAAATCATATGAGAAATCCTATTATAATTCATGGTATATTCCTTAATTTCGGGAGTTCTCTGACTGGGAGAGGGGCAGCACTGCAGTCAGGGATTTAGGGCATTTAGGGCTTCGGCGCTTTAGAAGTTGCGGAGTTGGAGTTTACACGTTCTAGGCTGCTAGGCCTTGAGTGTGGATTTGGGGCTTAGCCTCTGGTTGCATAGGCCGTCGTTCGAACCTGTAAAAACTCCAGGTGGGCCGGTGTTCTTATCTCGTGAGGCTTCTCCAAATGGCCGAAACCCAATCTCGCCAGCCCCGCCACGAAGCTGCTGCAGCCCAGCGTGTCAAGGGCCTAGCTGAAAGCCTATGTGACTTTGTGATTACATATTGGTACATCATACTGTTCAAATATGTTCAAGTGGAATGTATGTGTCTTTGACTATGGTGTTCGTCTGTGGTGCTTCATTATACTAGTTGTTAATGAACCTTTCATGCCCTGTCGCAGTTTCCTTTATGCAGCGTCGAAAGCAACACATTGACCCACCAAGCCCCAAACTCCAGGCCCTATATCGACCCTCAACCCTAAGCTCTAAACCCGAAGCCCTTAACCCCAAGCCTTATAAGCCCCAAGCCCCAAGCCCGACAACAGCAAGCGCTTGACCCTGAAACCTAAACCCTAAGCCCCCAACTACCCTCGATTATACCCCCAAATACCTACTATTAGGGACTATAAGGCCTCTATTCAAGGGCCCTTAAAGGGGGTTCCTGCCCTAAACCGTCACGGGCTCCTGGTCGAGGCCGTGGCGCAACTTTGCAGCCGCTTCTCGGCCTTCGATGGCTCCACGAAACTCGTCAGCTCGCCAGATTAGATTAGCATAGGGGTCCTTAAGAATAACCTATACTACGTATTTTGAGGGTTCCTTGCTTATTATAATCATTCTATTATATACCCCAAAATTAGACAGTTTAGTTGAGGTCTGACCTCAAGCCCCAAATGTAGGAATTCCCGTGGCCCAGCCCTAGGGTTAAGTGAGGAGAAATGCCCAAGTTCGGCTCTCGAGGTGGGTCCTGCTTGGAGGTTCATGGGTTGTTACGAGCGGGGTTATGAGGGTTCCCTTAAGGGCCCCTTTTAAAGGGCTGTATAGGGATTCTGTAAGGGTATAGGGTTTAAAGCCTACTTGGAGGTTCTTTATTGTAAGTGGGGTTATTAGCCCCCTAGTATGGGTTATAAGTATAGTTACCCTACTTAGAACCCTACTTACTTATATCCTACCCATGAACCTCCAAGTGTGTTCTGATTCCCCCCTAAACCCTAAACCCTAAACCCTAAACCCTAAACCGTAAACCCTAAACCCTAAACCCTAAACCATAAACCATCCGTTTAGAGTTCGACTTTCGGTTCTCTTGGCTAGCACCTTGAAAGCTCTCTCAAGCTATCGGAAGTAAGTTTGAGTATCTCTTCCCTAAACAGAAGAGACAGGGTTGAGGATGAAACCCTATAGAGCCCTACAGTAGAAGCCAAAAAGTTGGAAACCCAATAGCGTCAATCCTTAAGAGGAATGTATAGGGAATCCCAGCACTTTTTGGCCTTAATCCGTTGTCCATCTTTATGGGGATTACTGGAAACATTTTTGCCTCAAACCCCTCAAACTCTAGACTCTAGACCTTCAATCCTCAAAAACTCTAAAACCTCCATAAACTTACAAATGAGAGTCCCCTTAAAGCCCCCCAAAAAAAGCCCTGAAGTTTAAACCCACTGAGGAATGTGCAGAAGGGCGTGATGCAAATGGTCTTGCCTCAGGGACCTTCCCGGCTCCCCTTCAAAGATCTCAGCGGCGCCGAATCGGCGTCCTTGGAGCAGAAGCTGCGTGCGGAGCATCTGCTAGATCCCGTCTTCTCTCCGACATACAGTACCCTAGCAGTCTGAATCTCTTCTTGTTGGGGGCTTTATGCAATATACGGCGACCTCGGCCGTCATGCGTAGAGCTGAAATCCCGAAATTGCATTGCATTGCGTTGCATTTCAACTTGTTGGTGTCACGCGAAAACAATGCCTGGCTGCATCCATGCCGGCTTCGAGCGTTCCCGCCTTGCCCCTTTCGGTTCCCGTCTTGTGAATGACGACCACGGACAGATTAGCTGAGGGCCTAGGGTTTAGGGTAGGGTTGGCTGAGTTCTGAGGTGTTGGACATTGAGGAGGCGCCGTATTTGGCATATTCGACAGCCAGCCAGGGTCTCAGAATGCCCTTCCTGAAACCCTAAAACCCTATAAACCCTAACACCTTAATCCCGAAACCCCAAACCTGATCAGCCTAAACCACGAACCGGTGCTCGTGGGATTGGTCGAGAATTCTCTAAGCCCTGGTGTTTCGATACACCGCCATGTTATTCTATTCATGATGGTCCCTACATTCACTTTGCCCAAGTAGCTCTTCTAAGCTCTAGCGCAAGCCCCTGAAATTGACCAGGTAGGCCGCTAGGACATTGTTGATTTTCCCTTGCTGCGCCTAAGAGAATCTGAATCACGGTTTCACATTCACTTACGGGTACCCTTGGAGGTACCTTCGTGGGACAGGGGTGGCGGGTTTCAGGGTTCTTTTAAGGGCTCCAGTTCCTGTAAGTGCTGTTTCAGGTCTTGGGGTTTTGGGGTTTTAAGGTTTGGGGTTAAAGGTTTCAGGATAAAGTCTTGGGGTTTTGGGGGTTTAAGGTTTGGGTTATATAAAGGTTTCAGGATAAAGACTTAGGGTGAAGGGTTCAGGCTTCAGGGTTTTAGTGTTCATTTCGGATGTAAGGGCTTGTGGCATGGGGTGAGTTGAACTTCGGAATCAGTAGCCTGCGACTGCCACGAAACCTCTGTCTGGAAGTTCAGACTATTGCTTAGGATTGTGTTTTGGTGACTCCAGATCATCATCGTATGTTTCATTTCATACGCACGCACGCACACACACATATATATATATATATATATATATATGTGGTCAGGCGTCTGGCGTTCCCAGCCCCCCCCCCCCCCCCCAATGGTATGGTCTGCTAGGGGTGGGGGGTCGGGGGGGCTGGCGTGTGCGGCGGGGGGTCGGGGCTGTTGGGGCTGCCACTGGACAGGGGATGGTGCTGGCGGCCAAGGATCGCACGCAAGCCCTTCGCAAGCAAGCCGTAAACCCTATAACGCAGCGCGTGCCCCTGTTTCGAGTATCCTTAACTTGTACTTCAAACCCTACACCCAACCCTAAACCCCACCTAACTGCAGGCTCTAAGCCGAAAGCAGAACATACACCGCAAATCCTCTCTAAGCCCTTGTCGACTCGAAGCGCTATACCTTGTAACCGTAAACCCAACACTCAAAAGCTTAAGCTACACCCTCAACCCCAAAAACCCCACAACCACCCACAGCGAAAAGAGGGTTCCCCACACCCCACACCACAGGGGAGGGGGGGTCCCACCCTATATCCGGACCATTGACCTTTGGTGGTGGGGGGGGGGTCCGCGGAGCGCGTGACCATATATATATATATATATATATATGTATATATATATATATATATATATGTATATGTTATATGTATGCAGAGGCCCCTGACAAGGCCTGTGCCTTTCCCCGATCAATTTCTTGTTCACTGACATCAGGATTTGGTCGGACCATGGATATGTCCTTGTCTTATTTCTGAAGTCTGCTTCCTTCTTGGAGACTTGTGGGTACCGGTCACTGCCGTGTTTCCTCTTCAAGTGCTGCTTGTTTTGATTATGTCGTCTTATGAAAAGGACATTCTGGTAAAGGAACTAGGTAACCACAGAAAGCGATTACATGAAAGAGCATAGGTGTCGGGCTCATGACTTGGGGATACTAAACCGGAGACACTGGCAATGACCTTTATAAGGCTTTTGTGGTGTAGAGTTTGAGTTTTAGGGTTCTGGACTACGCTACCCAAAGCCCATTCTCCGAAGCCTTTTCGAATGAGAACCGCTCTACTTGAGGATCCTCAAACTTAACCTCAATGCCGAATCATCTGCCATAGGGACTCTTATCATGGTGCAGTCAAGCAGTACATAGCTTGTAACCGTGTAACCTGTTTGGTGGTACAATCCCTGTAATTAGTATAGGCGTCGGAAGCATTGTAGTTATATGGCCGTACATTATTTACAGTCGCAGTCTTGACGACAGCTGCGTTCTAAACTGCAATGCATACGTGAGCCCTATTCAACCCTATTATAATTAAGTGTTCAGACCTCTATCTCATGTGTCATCTTCGCCTCCCGTGTCCCCTGCTTAACTTTGCAAAGATTCCCGCAACCTGGTTTCTCTCCGTGCTTCTTGTGTGGAATGGGGGAATGAGTCATATAGGGACTGCGGCAAGGTACCTTAAGGGCTCTCATAGGGATGCATTCCCCGAAGCAACAATGACAGTCACTGTCAATCCAATCTGTCTTGTAGTCCCAGTTCAACCGCAGCATTGTGGTATCATATACCCCAAGAATATGTTCATGTATTTTTGCGGCCATATCGAAGTTCTGAAGTGGAAATCGCTCGAGCGCTTTGGAAGCCCAGCACGAACCTTAAAGCCCCATGCCACAAATTCCTAGAGCCCTCAGCCCACTCTGCAACGACGCCCCATAACCTGCTTGAGGTTTGTACTTAGGGCTCCCAATTACGATTTCCTGATATCAGTCCTTAGTACGCTATATAGGTTCAAAAGGGTCCAAGTATGCCTTGAGAATAAAATTTCGAGCCTGAGCATAAAGAACTGTATCCGATACGGTACCCTTACTTGGGGCGTCGGGGGACTTAGTAAGTAGGTAGTAAGTAGACTCATAAGTACCCTAAAAGGGACCCTAATTGGGGTTATGGTACTTATAAGTCCCCAGAATAACCAGTTACTAAGTCCCCCGACCCTCTAAGTAGGGCTTAGGGTTTAGGGCCGAGGACTAAGGTTAAACTCTTCGCCCCATGGTTGGACACCATTTTGGGAGACTCCGGGCAGTTTCTGATCGCCGTCCAGAATGCTAGACCCTGATCCCTACCTTAACCTACCAAAACCTACAAAAAAGTAGGGTCCCTACAAATTCCAGGTTGGGGTTTATAATAGGAACCGACAAAAAGTCGGTTATGGTAGCTTAAGATAGACTCTTTCTTTCCTTAGGCTTGGTGGTTGCAGCTGCCGACGTTCCAACGCCTTATGCCCAGCGAAGGGCGAATCGCTGCACCCTGAACCCCATTACTTGGATGATCATGGGACATAGTAAGTAAGGTTATAAGTACCTTAATTGCAGTTATATGTAAATATAAGTAGAGTTACCTTACTTGTAAGCCTAGCTACTCAGTCCCATGATCCTTTAAATAGCTTCGGTAAGCCTTCATGCACCCTGTAAACCCCTAACCCAAGAAGCCCTTGGCCCTACAGCATTCTATCATAACCCCACTCAAAACATCCCTAGGCTCTAGCAGGTGCTGATGTTTCCAGAAACCGCAAGGCATCCCCCTAACTAAGGCTTTGGGGATCAGGGCTTAGGGTCTTGGTGTTGCGGGTTTGGGAGTATAAGCATTTACTTTTTGAAGGGTTGTTTGTAGGCTATTTTGGATGTCAAAACATCTCTCTGATGAGGATTCTCCTGAAAGAACGGGTCTTCCTTGTTTGAGTGACTTTGGAGGTGTCTACTTCTTATTTCAGGATTAGGCAGTTAAGCCCATGGTGCTGATACGGTTGATGACATAAATCCTGCATGACCCATAACAAGGAATACCATAGTTCCCATAGTTTAGGGTCTTTAAGGTAATGCAGGATTTATATCATCAACCCTAAACCCTAAACCCTATAGATCCGCTTAAAGGAAGCCCTTAAAGGTACCCCCCCCCCTAAAGGATCCCTTTAAAGGAGCCCTAGGGATTTACATCATCAACCCTAGGACCTTGACCTTCAAGTTTAGGGTTGACGGCTTAGGCTTCCATCAGGGCTCAGGGGGCCAAAGTTTTAGACTACTGTAGGACCTAGAGTAGGCCCTTATTCCCTTTTTTGGGGTTCAGGTTCCCTTATAAGCCGCTTTAAACCAAAAAGGGCACCCTTTTTATTCCTAGGCTACTCTTGGGTCTAGTAGATGTACGTAGAGTCTCCAGTGTGGCTCCTTTTTGGGGGGTTACCTTATAGGATCCTATTTGTATATTTGGTTAGACCAAAAAAAGAGAGCGACAATGGAGACTATAGGCAAACTCTACACAGATTTAGGATTTAACTTTAGGGTTCAAAAAGGGTTTACAGGTTTAGCGTTTCATGGTCTCAGTCCGATGTGTTTCAGGGGCCTCAAAAGGGTAGGATGAAGGTAGGTGGGGTAACCGTAACCCTCAAATAGGAGTCCGTATGTAGGGGATCCGTCGTCCTACCTTCCTCCCACCTTTTGAGGTGGTATTCCCGATCGGTCCTAAATACCAAGATAATTGAAAGTAGGGTTTCTACAACAGGAATTACGGTTATGGTTGGGATACAGTATCGCCCATGCCATATGGGTAGTTGTCAAAATTAGGATTTTTGGGTATCCTAAATTTTAAGTGCCGTATTTTTTCAGGGACTCAAAACGGTACCATAATTCTGACAGCCACCCATATAGGTACATAGGTTTAACTTAGGACCCTTTAGAATTGAGAGTCCCATGGATTCTGTAACAAGTCTTACACTGTTTTTCCCCCAGCTTCCTCGTCCATTGTTCAGATGGTATCAATCCTGCATTAGCTTAATGATTCTAGACTATGGGAGTTATGGGCATATTCCTTGTTATGGGTGATGCAGGGTTTGGATCATCCCTAAACCCTAAACCCCCTATAAAGGAACCCCTAAATGTACCCTCATAGATCCATTTAAAGGAACGCTAGGATTTAGATCATCAGCCCTGTGCCAACCTTACGAGAGTCGATAAGAAGAGCACGCGGAATCTGCAAGAACCA